TCGGCACCACTGATGGCATTCCTCTTCCATAGAGTACTCCACTCTCACGTCAACCCAAATATAATTTCAATTTGAATTAATTTCATTTCAAATTGAGTGCAATTTAATTGTTTAGATTCTCGAGAATTATATAATAATGCCATAACTTTTGTAATGCTGTAGTAATTAATAGGTTATTGACAATTGCTTATTGTATTTTATACTAAAATTTAAACTTTTTAGAAATTGTTTCATTTATTATTAAATTTATATATTTTATAATTAAATTAAATGTTCTTTATTTTAATATTTTACATATTAGCTTTAAATTAAAAACTTAAAAGCATATAAGTAAGAATAGTACAAATGTATTGTTTAATCTGTTTATATATTTATATTCTTAACCTTAAAATTAGTGACAAAAACCACATTTCTGGGATTAAAACATTTATATGTTAATAACCTCTCAAATTTTTATTATTAATTTATGCAAAAAAGTGTAACAAAAGTTTTTAAATAATATTACATAATATCCATCAATAAATGAATTGTTTTAAAAACAGTTCATTCAATACAAATGTTTTATAAAACAAATAATACAAAAGGAAATAAACGCATATTTTTATTGATCAGATTTTTGAATATGTTTTATAACTTTTTTCATTGACTCCCCATTTGTAATGTAAATATTTCTTACAATCATTGCTATGAAAATTAATGTATTAAATATCAATATCGATGTAAATGTATATAAAAATTTGTTGTTTAAACAGTCGTTAAGCGTTTTATCATTCGTTGGGATCTAATCACTAGTTATACCAAAGATGTCCACAGAATTGCTATTTATATTATTTCCAACACTTCCTTTCGCTCCCATATTAACAAATATAACAGAAATATTAGCGATAATAGAAATATGCCATTAATTATACGTAAAACACTTGTTATAATAGTTGTATAATAATCGTGTCCTTACATTAAACCACACAAATATATTCAATATTTCACTAATTTATTTAATATAAATAACATGTTGTACTGTACTGTACAACATAGCATATATAGTAACTAGTAATTAAGTGATTATATGCCTTCAATGCCCCCACAGAACCCAAAGGACCATGACACTCTTACTGGCACTCTTATGATGGTAATGATGATAGCCCTGGCTATGTATTCAACCGTATAATCGGCTCAACAATTGATCAACAAATATGTTTGCGAAGGAAAGGAAAGAAATGCCAAAAATACAAATATAAATATTAAATGAAAATAATATTTATAAAAGCGATTGAATTCATTAATTACAAGTCAAACAGCAGTGAATAATTTAGCAGTTTTCCATTACGTTTGCAAAAAGTATAGAAAAATCAGTTCATATATACATTGCAAACACAGCACAGTATTATCGCTCTCTCCCTCCCTCTCCCTCTATGTTATCGTTGAAATTAATCACAAAATTTTATTCGCATTTAATAGTAGTTTTGGTATTTTGATTGATAACCAGAAACACACAGTGAGAGTGAGTGAGAGATTGACGAACGAGTCTGTGATCGTTGTCGTAGTCGTCGTCGGCTTAAAAAACAAGTGATTTGTACAAAAAAATTAATGCAAAACTCGTCGAAAAATAACAAGTGATTAAACAATATTTGTAAATCACGTTCACTTCACTACACGTATGCAAACCATACCAACCATACGAACCATACAATCGATTCTTATCGCTCTTCAAGTGTTGTGAAATTTTTGTGTGAATTTTTTTTTGGGTCTTTTTGTCTATGAAATCCATATTTATTTCATTTAATGCTGTAATTGTCATAAATAAGTGAATGTTGTGTTCATTTGTAGTGAAAATATAATTAAATTTAACGCATAATTTAGTGGAAATAAAATTTGAACGCAAACTAAGTGTTACGGCAATAATGTCTGGAAATGAGAGCCTTTTGCCGACATATTATCAAAAGCCGTTTCCTTTCGCGAAGTTATTGAAAAAATACGTGCCTTTGATTGCGATCTCAATACTACTGACGCTAAGCCTTCTCTGCTATGTATTTATGCCACAAATCCAGTCCTCAACCGATTTTGTCCAAAGAAATTGGCCGTCGATTCTGACGGACGACACGACCGACCCGTCGTCGCCGTCGACGACAACCAAAGCCCGAGTCTATAAGAATGAAGGCATCAAATCCATTATCACTGGAGACGCGAGTGATGGCAAAGAATCGGCCGGAGATGTGGTGACCAGTGGTGTGAAAGCAGTGCCGCTGCCGTCGGGCGACGATCCGGACCCGAAGGTGAGAGAGCGACGCGATTTCGTGAAGGATATGATGAGACACTCGTGGGATAACTATGTGAAGTACGCCTGGGGTCACAACGAGCTGAAGCCCGTCTCACACACCGGACACACGTCCGACATATTCGGCGGCGACTCTAAACTGGGCGCTACTGTTGTCGACTCCCTGTCCACGCTTTACATCATGAATATGACCGACGAGTTCCGGACGGCCAGGGATTGGGTGGCGACGAGTTTTGATATGAGTGCTGTCAACGCAGACGTGTCTGTCTTCGAGACAGTGATCCGATTCGTGGGCGGACTCCTGTCGGCGTACGGACTCACCAACGATGCCGTGTTTTTGCAGAAGGCTGTGGAAGTGGCCGACCATATGCTGCCCGCGTATAACACGCAAACAGGTTTGCCGTTGGCTTTGGTCAACCCGAAGACAGGAAAGGCCAAGAACTACGGCTGGGCTTCTGGCGGCTGTTCAATACTGTCTGAGTTGGGTTCCCAGCACTTGGAGTTTGTATACCTGAGCGCAGCCACCGGTGATCCCAAATATGCGGACAAAGTGACAAAAGTGCGTCAGTTTATGGACCAAATGGTGAAACCACACGACGGCCTGTACTTGAATTACGTGAACCCATTGACCGGGCAGTGGGGCGGCGAAGACCAGGTGTCGATGGGAGCGCTGGGCGACAGTTTCTACGAGTATCTCATCAAGTCTTGGGTTCAGACCAACGGCACCGATAAGTTGGCGCTCAAGATGTATAACGAGGCGATTGCGGCCGTAGACAAGCAATTGGTGCAGAAGTCGGCGCAGAAAGGGTTGACATATTTGGCGAAACTAAGTTATGGTCATTTGGAGCATAAGATGGAACACTTGGCCTGTTTTACGGGCGGAATGTTTGGTTTGGGTGCTCTTCACGCCTCCGATCGCCGCACGAAAGACCACTTCATGGCTTTGGCGGCGGCGCTGACGGACACGTGCGCCGAGTCGTACGGCCGGACGGCCACCGGCATCGGTCCCGAGGCCTTCTACTTCACCGAAACGGCTGAAGCCATTGCTATCAACCAATACGAGAAGTACTACATCTTGAGGCCCGAAGTGGTCGAGAGTTACTTCTATATGTGGCGACTGACTCACGACCAGCGCTTCCGCGACTACGCCTGGAGTGCGGCGCAGGCTATCAACACTCACTGTCGCACTGACTACGGCTTCTCCGGTATCCGAAACACAAGTGATGTCCACTCGGCTAAGGATGACGTCCAGCAGACCTTCTTCTTAGCCGAAACACTCAAATACTTGTACCTAATCTTCTCTTCAGACGACTTGATCTCATTGGACGACTGGGTCTTCAATACCGAAGCGCATCCCTTACCAGTCCTCAGACCCTAACCCCCACTTCCAACCCATCGGTAGTTAAATACTGTGTTTTTACCTCTATTTTAGACATAATTTTTGTTTTTAACTCATTATAACATCCAATACTTGTTAACAAGTTTTTAATCGTTGTTTAAATAACTCATTGATAAATATTTATTGAATACTTTTTAAGTCAAATATTTATTAATTTTTATAATAAATTGATTTTTCAGTTTTTACGATACAATAAAAGTATCGACGAAAATATAATTTGTATCAAAATATAAGTCAATGTATAATAAATTACATGTAAGTTTAAATGATTGCAATTAATTAAAACATTTGAAATTAAACGCGAATTAAATTATTTAACAATGAATTAAATTCACTACAATCTTACAAAGTTAATTTAACCAAATTTAACTCAAAGTTTGGCACAATATTTATCACTATTTGGATGTGATGTCAAGCCTTAGTGTTTTTGCAATGCTATCCAACAATTGATCACAAATTTTAAAAATTTAATATAAATTGAAACATAATTTAATTTCAAATATAAAATAAAAATGTTTAGAAAAACATGTTTTGTAATAAATGCAAAGAATTTGATTTTGAGAAATGAATAATTTTTTAGTCAAAAATAGTCGAATTGTAAATAATGTAAAAAATGATTTGAATCACAAAAATATCTCATTTAGTTTTCTTATGATTTTTTCACAGAATCTGAAAACAAAACAATACATTAATCTATAATTGAATGAAAAGAAATCTTAACAAAATGTGAGACAAACCGTTGTTTTGATGCCTTTTTCTCTTCGGTTTATTGTTTTGTTTTTCTCATAATTCGCGACATTTTATAATACAATTAAATGGCAATCAAATGATCAAAAATTACGAATAAAGGAAAGTGTGTCCAGAATTACGCGCCTGTCGTTGGGGTCACAGAAATCGAGTGCTCTATCGTTCAGACGGTATATATTTAACTGTAAATACAAGAAAAACATTGGATTAATAAACAGTAAATTTTTCTATTTAAGATTTTTCTTATTTAAGATTTTCAATGCTATGCTATGTGCTTGTATTGAGTGTTAACTGTACGCAATGTTTGCGCTAAAACACTTGACTCATCATAAGCAAAAGTGATGCAAATATGAGTATTAGGCGTACAGTAAACACCCAATATAGGTACTGGTAATATGTTTGTCGTTAGCATTGAAAATCTTAAATAAGAAAATAATCTGTAGACGATTATATGAAGCTATGAAAGTAATTATACGGGTGTATTGGCGTCGCTGTCACTGTCAGAGCAATTGCCACTCAATTCACGCAAATATTGTTCACTAACTTCAACGGCCAAAAAGTGAAAGTGTGTGCCGCGGATCAGAAGCGAGTGATGCCGTGCGAGATATGGGTTCTCACTGTTTGCCCGGTTGTGCTGAGCGCAGGCCACGGCCTGAGCCACCGTTTGGCACACATCCCGGTCCAGCAGTTGTGGGCATTTATCGGCCTTTACCTCAATATTCAATACAAAGCGATCGTTTCGCTTAACGACAAAATCGGGAACACATGCCATCCGAACGCATCCCTTGGAAACAATATGATATTCGTTGTGATAATCAACACTTTTATTGACACATTTTACGAATACCTCATTAGAAGTGTCGAGACGTATGGGAAGACTGAAACGTCTATAGAGTCTAAAGGCTTCAAACAATGGCATCCGAAACAGAGTGTCCACAAACTGTTCCACTTTATTCTTCCGGTTCTCTTCCTCGATGTCGTCGTTGACAATGTGTTCAACGGTCTCATAAAAGTAGAACTCTTTGTTGGCCACACTTCGGGCCGTTTCTCGCAATTCACGCAACGATTGGGACGTGAAATGAATGCCAGGTTTTGATATATAGAGCGGTATATTGTCTGAAATGCGTAACCAATACATGTGTTAAGAGGGATACAAATGAATAGTCAATCACTGATTATAATATCAAATCAATTGTGTTTTCTATGAGACAAATACCGGTGTCTTTGTGTGTGTGTCCACCGATGTGTCCACCAATGAATCCTTGTCTGAATCGGGCGTTCAATAGTTCCAACGTTTCTTCGGTAAAGTATTTGGTATTCAATAGCGAGACGTCCGACTCATGGCTTAAGTCTATGGGTTTTGTGACAATCATTATAATAGCAATCAATCTCATGAAGAATACCAACAGTTGTCGGCATCGCTCAGGTCTTCAATGAATGCCTTTCTATCCAAAGTGTGGATCAATTGTTCCGTTTCTATGTATGAGTTGTATTTCCTAATCCATTGTCTCCTCATTACACCACTTATGGCCACAACTGATCCCTTCATTCCCTTCGCAAATGTGCCAAACATTTGACTAATATTTAGCAAAAACTAATTGTTTCACAAAATTGTGTCCAAAAAACGCATTCAAAAGTGTAAACAATAATCACGTGATTATCAATTGAGTGAAGAGTCGTTCGCTTAAGACGTGACAACACTTTCAGTGACTACTAAACCGCTCGCAATATTTTCATAGTGTTATGCAATACTGACTGTAATCGATAAGCAGCACTACTGAGCAGTGGTGTGAGTAGCCAGACATGTGAGCGATAAGCAGATTCAATGCACTGTCAATGCTTGAGCATAACACTATGAAAATAATGCGAGCAGTTTATTACTATTAGTATTTGTCATTGAATTTAATTCAATTATTTGTCATTCAAACACAAATAGTTTTTAATAACAATTATAAATAAAATGAATGTCAAGTTTAATGTCAAGAAATAAATATTAAATCATAAAAAACTAATTGTTTCACAAAATTGTGTCCAAAAAACGCATTCAAAAGTGTAAACAATAATCACGTGATTATCAATTGAGTGAAGAGTCGTTCGCTTAAGACGTGACAACACTTTCAGTGACTACTATTACTATTAGTATTTGTCATTGAATTTAATTCAATTATTTGTCATTCAAACACAAATAGTTTTTAATAACAATTATAAATAAAATGAATGTCAAGTTTAATGTCAAGAAATAAATATTAAATCATATATTACTATTAGTATTTGTCATTGAATTTAATTCAATTATTTGTCATTCAAACACAAATAGTTTTTAATAACAATTATAAATAAAATGAATGTCAAGTTTAATGTCAAGAAATAAATATTAAATCATAAGAAATACTTCATTCAATTTTAAAATCACTTTAAAAATTATTTTCCAAAACTAAAACTAATTGTAAATAATTGGCAAAAAATGATTAAAATCACAGATAATTGTAAGAAATGATGTTTTTCTGAGTATGAGATCAATTAGAAAACACTTGAATCACTTCAACACTTGTGGTGACTATTCTTCTGGTTTCGTACGCTTTGATATGTTTTGGCGAAAAACTTTCTCATCCGACAAAACACATGAGACATGAACTCTATGTTCACGAATAGAGACACAAATTGTTGATCACTTGGATATGAATCCAGTGCTCTGTTCAGTACTAAACGCATATGTTTTAACGATTGACCAGAATTTTGTCGACTATTTACTAATAATATTTGTAAATATAAATAAAACATCTGTTTTTCGGCCTTCGGTTTGATTGTTAGCCAATAAGTACTCGAATGACACGTATTCTGATCACACGTTCAGATCGTTTCGGAACAACTCATCCCTTAAGAAGTTTTTGAGAATTTTTCGCATTTCTTTGGCACTCATTCTGCCATCAGTTCTGCTCTTTTCGTATTGAATCCAAAGTAAAACAAAATCACATTTATTTTCGCCGCAAAACAACTCAACGCTTGACTTAAAGATGTTTTGAATTTTCGCATTTCTTTGGCACTCATTCTGCCATCAGTTCTGCTCTTTTCGTATTGAATGGTTTCATTTTGTTTTAGTGTAAATAAAAGCGGCGTTTTGTTGAGTTGCGAACTGAATTTCTACAAAACTTATTATCAAAGCAAAGGTATCTTAAAGCCATTTTCGCCATTTACTTCTCTTTTCAGTCGGATTCCTACAATTGGCTCAAAACAGTCATCACTTTTAAACACATTTTCATCACTTTTAAAGTCAATCACTGATAGAAAGCGTAGAAATTGTTTCACTAAAAAGTATTTAGTGTTTGTCTCACGAAATCTAACCAAAACATCGATTACATCATCACTTGAGACAATCCTTTCCGTGTCGTCGATGTCAGTGTCAGTGCGAACCGGAAGCCAATGGAACCGTTGTCTCAATAATTCAAACTTAAGCCAAACGATATTCTTATGACTTTTCTCTGAAATGATTTGATTCTCTTCTTTATCGATAAGAGAATCGATTTGTGGATCCATTTGTTCACTATTTCCCACATTTTTCTTAGCCATCACTTGAGACCAACCGATGGATCCGTTTTCCCCAAAACGAGGGCAACCGCTGTCCCAAAACGGCTCAAACAGTGATTTCCAATCCTATCATTAAATATAAAATATTTAACACATAATGAAAAACAAACAATTGATTGAATGATTGAATACCTGAACAGACATTTCAAACGTCAATAAACTCGGAGTAAATAAATTGAATTCAATTAATGCCTGAAATATAGCAATAGATCTCTCCGTTTGTCCAATACTTAAGAGAAATCGCGAATAAGAGCTCAGAATTAAAACCAATTCTCTCTCCAAGTCTTTGGGCGGCGAATGACTTATAAAAGTCTTTTCCAACATTTTTGACAGCATTTCAATGCATTTCTCGTAAACTTTCAAAGTTTTTGATGCTTTAAATTGTGTTATGTTTTGATGAGTAAATCGCATGTATTTTCTCCACATTTCTAATGAATTTGGATATAAAAAGACTAAACGTTTCCACTCTTTGACCACTTTATCGAAATCCCAAATATTGGACACAATTTCGAGTCGACATAACAACAGATCAATTGATTGCGAATTAAAACTTAACGCTTTCTCACAAATGGAAAGTTTCTTCTCATTAATAAACACATCATATGTTTTGCCATCGATTTTGTCTTTCAAATGATCCGTCGTTTCCACGCATTTGTCCTGAAATGCTATGAATTGAAGCCATTTCTCGACATCCAATTCATTGTCTCTCAAATATGCGTTAAATTCTTGTGTTTTATCGTAAATATATTGCTCACGAGTCGGACATCGATTCGCGCCAATTGTCTCTACAAAACAAAATGTATTTTAAATGTCTTTCAAAACATAAATATAATTTTAATACCATTTTTAGATGTTTTGTCTTTCATTGACTGGAATTTGAGAGTCGACTCAGGAATAGGGATATCATCTAAACCTCCCTTTCCTTCAGACCAAAGAGCAGTCTTCGTGTCGTAAACTCCCAAAGGATTCGATGGATTAGTGTTTGATTGAGTCGTCAATAACTGACTGAAAGGTTGATTGGCTTTAATTGCAATGAAATCTAACGGTTCTCTCATTGGTCTCATCACTGGTTTCGACAAATCTGTGGACTCTTTGAGACTCTTCTTCAGTAATAATAGATTTTCGAGTGAAAAATATCTCATTTTCTTCTTCTTATGATTTTTGACAGAATCTGAAAACAAAATAAAATACAAATAATTTATAATTGAATGCAAAAAAAACTACAAAATGTGAGACAAACCGTCGTTTTGATGCCTTTTTCTCTTCGATATATTAATTGTTTTGTTTTTCTCATAATTCGCGACATTTTTATAATACAATGAATTAAACGCCAAATTATTTGAGTCTCTTTTGGTGTCAATTCTGTACGCGTTTTGCGGCGAAAGACCCGTCTCTTCAATGAATGTCTTCTTCGCCAACAATTGGGAAATATTGTGAGAACTAGTGGTCGACGACAACGAGTCGTGTCTTCTGTGGTTTGGCCTCGACTTTGATCTCTCGTCTGAAACACAATTCAATAAACATTAAACACATTTCCAAACAAACTGTTCGCCAATCGATGGCAACGACTCTTACGACTCTTTGATCTCTTCTTGCGATCCCTTTTGTGGTCTCTTTTGTGATCTCTTCGGTCATTGCGTCCATCGGTCGACACAATCACCTCTTCGTTCACTTCAATCACCTCTTCATTCAATTCAATCACTTTCTTGTCGTCAAAACTTTTGAACGAAAGCCAATCCTTGTTGTCATCGCCGGTCGTCTTCTTGTCTTCGGTCTTAACCACCGATGAATTGGTCGCCACTGAAGAAGAATATGCGGGAAATAAAGACATGTTTGGCCGCAGTTTTAATTCATTTGTTTATTAATTACAAAATAAATTGCAATCAAAACACAAATTCATAACAAAAATCGTTTAAATGACAGAAAAACACATGACTTTATTGACGTTATTTAGTCGTCGCTATTCATAAACACTGTTATCATTACTAAACCCAACCCTTTATTATTGCCCGTCAAAAGTATTGCACAAAATATAGTATACAAACACTCGTTTAATAGGACCCCCAGCCCTCCACCCCCTCCACATGCGTTACAGTGTTTAAGTATAAATTGCAATGCATTCACATATAATGTAATTCAGTATTGAATTCGTGAATACCTGTGACTGAAGAGGAATAGCCGGCAAATATAGGCAATAGTTATAACTTTAAATATTTAATTAATTAAAAGTCTTTTCACTTAAAAACTAAACCGTTTATTTATTATTAAATTTAGTGTTATTTTAATAACATTTAAAAATATTTTCATTTATAACATGTAGTAATAATAATTATTTCATTTATTAGGGTAAATAAAATGTAGGATTTTAGTAAAATCATTTATTTATTTATTATTAAATTTAGTGTTATTTTAATAACATTTAAAAATATTTTCATTTATAACATGTAGTAATAATAATTATTTCATTTATTAGGGTAAATAAAATGTAGGATTTTAGTAAAATCATTTTACGAAACAAAACTTTGAAACAATGACTTCAAATCACACTAAATCATGTATTAATTATGTAATAATAATGCCATTAATTAATGTAATTATAGGTATAATTAAATAGTTGTGTAATTGTTATACAATCGTAAACTTCTAACAGTAAAGTAAACATAAAATTATTCAAAAATACAATAGATTCACATCAAATGGATTCGCATTAATAGTTGTGTCTATTAATTAAACTACAATTAGTGGTACTTTTTAAAAGCGATTTAACACTTATTTTCTCATAAGGAATGTCTTTAAACAAGAGTTCTCTGGAATGACTACTCTCTTGAGCTCTAGATTTTTGGGAATAAACTCCGGACCGAAGAGATCGCTGATTATATTGAAGTCGTCTTTGAAGGCGAAACACAGCTGTCTGTGAGGAGAGGTCTCCGCCCGAGTGATGAACGCCTCAATCGATTGGCAACCGATAGTCGAGAAGCAATTGATTTCAACAGATCTAACGCTTTCATTATTATCGATGAGCTGACAGACGGCGTCGTCGCCGATGGACCGCCACTCGTGTGACGAACCGTCGAGAATAGCGAACCGTCGCAGCGCTGGAAGCGCTGACAGCGAGCGGAATGTGAGATCAGTTATCACACAATAGCTGCAAACCAGACGCAGGGACTGGAGTTGCGGTAAATGGACGCCTATTTCGTCAAATGTCTGGTCATTGATATGTTTGATCACTAGATATAATCGTTGCAGTTGTGAACAGTGTCTCAACGCCTCAACACTTCCCACATATTTGTTCAAATAGTTCTTCTGTTCGCACTTCCCGTCAAAAATGAGCGCAAATCTCAACCATTTTATTGACACAAAGTGTCCCAAAATACTGAACCAATCATTGGTGATCAAAGTGTCGAGAAAGGCTTGAGTTGTCACCACTTCTAACCGGAAACGAGTTAATTGTTTGCACTTTTTAGCCAATTCTTCAAACTGTTGGTCAAGTCTTCGCAATGGCTGTAAAGTAATGTTCAAATGAAGTGACAACTCTTCCAATGCGTTAAATCGAGACAATTGTTGCAAACAGTGGTCCACCGATAGGGTCGCCGAAGACGTGAAGAAGAACTCGATTTTCTTCAAACGATCGCCAAATACATCAACAAATTGAGTGAAGTCTTCATTCGTTGAAATTTGATCAGTTCTTTGAGTCTATCGGTTATAAATAAGCGATTTTGTTGGTCATAATGACCGATATCTCCGGTGTGAAGCCATCCCTCGCTATCTATGGCTTCATTGGTGGCCAACGAGTTGTTTAGATATCCGGCAAACATTGACGGTCCGCGAACACAGATCTCGCCGTCAATATCGGGCCCTAAATTTGATCCGTTTGTCAAATCAATCACTTTTAGTTCGGTGTTAATATTGGGTGGACCTAAATTGCCCTCGATCAATTCATTAGTATCCGAACCAAGAAAATCTGTAATCGCACCATATTCGGTCATTCCATACCCTAAATGTTAATTACAACCGATTAGACTAATTCAACTCAATTCAGTTCATACCCTGAGTGAATTTGAGATTAAATTTGCGAACCAATGTCTCGGCAACTGTGGCTGAAAAGGCAGAACCGCCGACAGTCACGAACTGAAGGCTCGAGAGATCGTAATTATCAACGAGTTGTCCGTCGATGAGTCGGTGTCCCAATGGGGGCGTTATAAACATGAATGTGATTTTGTATTTCTCAATACTCTCAACAATCAACTGATCGTCTAAAGCGCTGTATATAACGACGACCACTCCAGTCGTTAATAAGCGAAATAAAAAGCCCGAACCCGAGACACTCCCGAACGGAGTTATGTTCCCAAAGACGGGTCTCTCTCCCGGAGTCCAAAATGTTAAGCCAGACATTAACAAATAGTAACCATAGTGTGTGTGTAACACTGATTTGGGCACTCCTGTAGTCCCAGAGCTTTGTAACATTATGAATATATCTTTCACGGGATCGACAGTAAAGAATGGTATGGTTGGCAACATTTGATTGGATCCCTGTTTAAGTAATACACTAAAATCGATGTAATCATCATAAGTGCCGTCCAATATAGTGATCAATTTCACGCAATCATTTATTTTGTTGTTTTCTAACGCTTTGGATATGATTTCGGCTTTAGTTGTTGACGTGAAGATTACCATAGATTCCAATGTTTCCAAATGGCCCTCCATTTCGTAAATATTAGCGATGGGACTGATTGGGCAGATAGTTGTGCCCAACCATACGCTCGCAAACATTGCGATAACCAATTCAATTGAATTATCGGCAAAAGTAAGAATAATATCCGATTTATTGATCCCCTTCTCCAACAAAGCCATCGCCAATGCATTGGATTTTGTGATCAACTCTTTTACTGTCAATTCTGTGTCTGAATTCGCGTCAATCTGTGGTTTAATAATATAGTATTAAATATTTTTAAAAAGTTTAAAATTACATTTCATACTTACAATACAGACATTATTTTCATCAATCATTTGTAATTTATTCCATAAGATTTCAGACATCGATTTTGGTACTGATATACCAGTGAATGGTTTTTCTGATTTTATGACAAATTCTTCGCTCATATTTGAATCACTTTTAGAAAACTTACGAAAATATATTTCTCAATAAACAGAAACGAAAATAAAATAAACTACAACTTTACCTATAATATTGAAATTTAATCCACAAATACCTTGTTTTATAAACTTTAATCTAAATGTCAAACTATAATATAATACTTACATATTTATATATTCCGTATATTTTAGTTAATACTAGTATTAATATAAACAGCACAAGTAGACAACAATAATTGTCTAATTTTATATAATGTAATAAATCAAATGTCTTTTTATAGAAAACATTTTTCAAATAATGACTTTTTTAACAATCGTTTTATCTTAAAATTTTAAATATATAATCATTTAAAAGTTAATTAATCTAACTAATTTTATATAATGTAATAAATCAAATGTCTTTTTATAGAAAACATTTTTCAAATAATGACTTTTTTAACAATCGTTTTATCAATTTTAAAATTTATATATTAGTAAATTTTCAATTAATTAGATTAATTAGTACTCGAATAATATTTCACGTGCTATCGAGATTTGTAAATAATACCTATTAAATACATATTAAATATTAAATGAATTACAATATTTCAACGCTAAAAAGTAAATACATTATGAAATAGACAAAATTGTAAAGACTTTCACTTATAACAGTAATTATAATTATGCCAATCACTTATAATATCTAATAATATGTTTACTACCATGCTCATTTTATATAAAACATTGCTTAAAACGAAACAATCAATTCATTATCGACCAGTTGTTTGAAATATCTTCGGTTCACTTTTCCGAGACTCGTTCGCGGGATGTGATCGACAAACACAACGCCAGCCCTTAACTGTTTCGCATCACTCATGTTGTCTGAATCAATACATATGGTATTAATTGTAATTAATTTTTTAAATTAAAAAATCACTTCATTTTATACCCGAAACGTATTTTTTAATCTCCTCTTCGGTGATAGACATCCCATCTTTCACTTTGACATAAGCCCTAACCCATTGACTTTCAATCTCGTGCTTAACGCCAACCACTGCCGCCTCTGCCACACAATTGTGTGTCTCTAAAAATAGCTCAATCTCTGTCGGGGAGACCTGTTTTGTCCCAAATTTGATCAGTTCTTTGAGTCTATCGGTTATGAATAAGCGATTTTGTTGGTCATAATGACCGATATCTCCGGTGTGAAGCCATCCCTCACTATCTATGGCTTCATTGGTGGCCAACGAGTTGTTTAAATATCCGGCAAACATTTGAGGCCCGCGAACACAAATCTCGCCGTCACTATTGGGCCCTAAATTTGATCCGTTTGTCAAATCAATCACTTTTATTTCGGTGTTAGTTATGGGTCGACCCAAATTGCCCTCGATCAACTCATATTCATTGGGATCAACCTCAAGAAAATCTGTTATCAACCCATATTCAGACATCGCGTATCCTTAATGATAATTACAATATATAAACGCAAAATTTAGCACTAATGTGTCATACCCTGGGTGAATTTAACATTAAATTTGTGGATTAGTGTTTTGGCAACTGTGGCCGAAAAGGCCGCTCCGCTCACTGTTACGAATTGAAGGCTCGAGAGATCATAATTATCAACGAGTTGTTCGTCAATGAGTCGGTGTCCCAATGGGGGCGTTATAAACATGAAAGTGATTTTGTATTTCTCAATACTCTTAACGATCAACTGCTCGCTTAACGCTCGGTATATAACGAATGGTACGCCAGAGGTTACGAAGCGAAATAAAAATCCCGAACCCGAGAGACTCCCGAACGGAGTTATGTTCCCAAATACAGGTTTCTTTCCCGGAGTCCAACACTCGTAGTTTACTATCAAAGAGTAGCCATAGTGTGTGTGTAACACAGATTTGGGCACTCCTGTAGTCCCAGAGCTTTGTAACATTAAAAATATATCTTTCACGGGATCGACAGTAAAGTATGGGACGGTTGACAACCGTTGATTGGATCCCAGTTTAAGTAATTCACAAAAATCGATGTAATCATCATAAGTGCCGTCCAATATAGTGATCAATTTTACGCAATCATTTATTTTGTCGTTTTTTAACGCTTTGGATATGATTTCGGCTTTAGTTGTTGACGTGAAGATCACCAAAGAGTCTAGTTTTTCCAAATGGCTCTCTATTTCGTGGACATTAGCGACGGGACTGATTGGGCAGACGGTTGTGCCCAACCATACGCTCGCAAATATTGCGATAACCAATTCAATTGAATTATCGGCAAAAGTAAGAATAATATCTGATTTATTGATCCCCTTCTTCAACAAAGCCATCGCTAATGCATTGGATTTTGTGATCAACTCATTTACTGTCAATTTTGTGTCCGAATTGGCCTCAATCTCATTAAGTATAATATAGTTTTAAATATTTAAAAAAAATTTAAAATTACATTTCATACTTACAATACAGACATTATTTTCATCAATCATTTGTAATTCATTCCATAATATTTCAGACATCGATTTCGGTACTGATATACCAGTGAATGGTTTTTCTGATTTTATGACAAATTCTTCGCTCATATTTGCAAAACTTTTAAAAACTTTTTAAAACTTTATTTCTCTCGAAAAACAGCAACAAAAATGCTATAAAACTTTGTTCATAATATCAAAATTTAATCCACGGATATCTTCAGCCTTGTAATGATTATTTAGAAAAAAATTATCAAATTATACAATTTTAATCTAATGTCTGATTTAATGAAAGTGATAAAATGAGTAAATTATCTAAGAATTTATAAAGTAAAACATTTTGTAAAGTGTGAATACTGTACTTTTAATGTACAATTAAATGACATTCATTGTGTTATTTTAAATAGTGTTATAAATCAAACGTCTTTTTGAAATAATGACATTTAATGACAATCTTTGCCTAACCTTAAAATTATAAATATACAATTATATTGTATTGTATAGATCATTAATCTAACGATTCTAAGTTTATTATAAAGTACACAATACACTCATTATGTATAATTTATGTTATAATTGATCTAAACAGTATTTCAACGATAAAAAATACATTAAGATTTAGAAGTAACTTATTTTTATCGTCATAATTTTTATATGAGTATAGCTAAAGTAAAAATTTAAAATAAAAATGGTCTGTAATTATAATAAATATTAATATAGTTTAATTTATTAAATTTACAATACAATTACAAAATGCAGTCAAACCTCTCTAAGATATCTTCAATATAAGCGTAATTTTTATTGTTTTCACCGGTTGGTCACTTTTTACTTTATTTGTTCAGTTGTGAAATATTAAAAATGATTACATAATCAAATCCTATAACGTATTGAAAGGTTTGTGCCAATTAGCAATCAATTCAAGTGATTATATCATAAAAATTATATTAAAACTAACGGTTTTGATAGTACTTTTAATTTATTTACTGTTAATAAACGAGAAAAATTAATTTTATAATTTAGATACAAGCTCTTAAAATTAACAATTATCTTTATTTTAAATGCACTGTATTTACTTACTGTGCATTAACTTACTGTATTTATTGTAAATTTTAAATTGTTGTTAAATATAACCCAAAACTCGATATAATTTACCATTTTCTGTTTCCAAACGTCAACCCATATCGAGGTTTGATTGCAATAGTTGTGACAGACATACAATCTGTGTAAAAATGCAAATATACAGTATTTTAATATTTAATAAATAGTTTTGCCATACGGGGTAAAAATAGTTTATTTGTAAAAATAAATGTTTAATTTAATTCAAAAATAATTTTTAAAATTTAATATTTGTTCATAACATTTAATTAATTTTGTTGTTGTTTCTTAAATAACATTTTTAAAATGTATTTTGTTGATAAAAAATCTTAAATTAATTTGAGTGCTTGCAATAGGTTATGCATATTTTAATTACAAATGTTATTAACGTGAAAACATTTAAAAATAATAGTTTATAAATAATGAAAGCCTAGTTTAAACTTTTAAAGCCATTCAAAAATGTCTTATACTTTACACTCTTAAGTAAAGAGTGTTAACAGTGGAGTAGTTTAGAAGTGATTATAAAGTATTATAGCGATTGTGATTTAAATGTTTTGACTTTTAGCAATCAGCTTACAGTTAGTTATAAGCGTGTAATCATGTTATATACAATCAGTAATATATATTTAAATATTTACAATAAAAACAAATTAAATGCCAAATATATTGCTAAATGGTTTACATTGCTATCAATCAAAACACAATTGAAGGTGACTTTGAATCCAAGGCTTCAGTTAAGGAACCAAAATATATAACAATACAAACAATTCATACGATTTGTTATATAAGAAATATTTATCACAAACTGATAGTATGTGTCAAAACACGGAATAGGAATCCAAATGTGTTTTATGTTGTAATTTAACACTATTTTCAACACAGACACAAATATTCAAACAAAATCTGATTAAAAACTTGTTGAGTTGACAACTATTTATATCGCTAATACTTTTTTAATAGTTTTAATCTCATATTTATATTTGAATTAATTATTTATAAATATAGTTTAAAACTTTGATATATTTATTATGAACAACATTAATATCCAAACAATATTTAATATCTATTTATTAAATATTATAGCAATGATTGACTTTATAATTATTATATGTGTTGAGATTATTATGTTTAAATGAAATGTGTTGTAATAAATTATATAACAAATTAAAAATAATATACTGTAGAGTATTTATCAATTATCATTTTTTATTCATCAGATAATTATCTTATATTTTAAATAAAGAATAATAATTATTAAGATTATAAACAAAATAATTAAAATACAGATGAAATTCTCAGGAATTTTTATTTAAACTCTTAAAATATACCGGTATCAGTTATTACATTCCCATTATATTTAAACTACGGTATTAATTAATGTAAACATTTGTTTTGAGCGTTGATTTAGTTTAATGACTATAGAATAGTCTTAATTATAATTCCCAGTAATTATTTCAATTGAAACTAAAAGGGTTTTGAATATATTTAAAGTCCATAATTAGAAAATAATAGCTGTTTTAAACAGGTTTATAGACTACAAGTCATTGAAATTATAGCTTTGTTTCATTGTTTGATTGAATCGATGACAACATTACACGGCTTTAATCACTTCATCGGCGATCAATTGTTTGAAATATCTTCGATCGACTTTTCCTATAGTAGTCCTCGGGATGTGATCGACAAACACAACGCCAGCCCTTAATTGTTTCGCATCATTCAAATTGTCTGTAAAATATGATATAAGACTTTTCATACATGTTTTAAAACTAATCACTTGATGGCAAACCTGCAACAAATTTTGTGAGTTCTTCTTCAGTGACAGACATCCCATCTTTCACTTTGACATAAGCCCTAACCCATTGACTTACACAGAGCACAAACTGCGGTTGGTGACGGTGGAGACGGTGTGTAAACACCCAGTTATTCTTGACGAGCTAGAGACAGCCCCTCTGCCGACAACACTACTTAAATTACTCAAGAAACTCAGATAGCCTTATGAAGAAACGTTTTTCTGAGTCATAATATCCAATATCTCCGGTACGAAGCCATCCCTCGCTGTCAATGGTTTCTTTGGTGGCCAAAGGATTGTTGAAATATCCGCTAAACATTTGCGGTCCTCTTAAGCATATCTCTCCCTCCATATTAGGGCCCAAACTCTCTCCTGTATTAAGATCTATGATTTTCATCTCGGTATTAAGTCCGGGTCGGCCCAAACTGCCCGCAATATAATGTCCGTCTTCTAAGTGCATCCAACCGGTTGTCGGACCAAATTCGGTCATTCCATACGCTTTTTGGATAATTATTACATTAATTTATACCCCATTTATAAGGATTTATAATTGAATGAATACCTTCCCTAAAGTCAAGCTTATGTTTCTCGACGATAGCGTGACCGACATGTGAAGCTTTCCGCCGCGGCCGGCACTTCTGGTCGAAATCTGAGCTATTCAGTATGAATAACAAGTAGACAAGCAGTTATTCAAACCAAGGCTTCTGCCCACATTACTTTTGATACCGGTGAAATATGAACAGAATGGCTTTAATGATAAGCTCATCGAAATGTTCCCGGAATATAACGATCGGCACACCAGACGTGATGAATGCAAACAGAAATGTTGAGCCAGACATACATCCAAAAGGGGTGATGTGTGCGAACCGATTGTTTGGCAGGTCTTTCAGAGGAATTAATAGTCGGATTTGTATTGGGCTAAATGATAATGTATTATATTAACCCAGTTGCCGTGCAGCTAGAATCTTGGAATTGGTCTCATTATTTAGGCCCACATTCCTAGGCACCAGAATCCGAGTTTCATCAAAATCGTATACTTATTGTTGACACAGGAATTTTTTTAATGAAGAGAAAGGCGGCGCCGGCCGTGAAGACCAGCTTTAGACTCGATAAGTCATACTTATTGTTCATCTGTTCGTCAATAAGTTTGGTTCCGAAGACGGGTGTAATGAAAACTATGGCCACTTTATACTTGTCGATGGCTTTAATGATAAGCTCATCGAAATGTTCCCGGAATATAACAATCGGCACACCAGAGGTGATGAATGCAAACAGAAATGTTGAGCCAGACATACACCCAAAAGGGGTGATGTGTGCGAACCGATTGTTTGGCAGGTCTTTCAGAGGAATTAATAGTCGGATTTGTATATTAAAAGCCACGTGAGATGTCATCAGCGATTTGGGCGCACCAGTGGTTCCGGAGCTCAACAGCATTATAAATATGTCTTTATTGGGGTCGACATCAAAGTATGGGATCTTTGGTAGCATTTGATTGTTTCCTTTGGACAACATATCGGCAAATGTTGTGAACTCATTGTAGACGCCGTCGAATACGACAACAGTTTTAGCTTTGATTTTTTGGTTTTTGGCCAAAACCTGGGCAATGATATCGGCTTTGGCTGCGGAGGTGAAGATAGCCAAAGAACCCAACGTTTCCAATAGACTCTCCATCTCATAGAGGTTGGCGATTGGACTGATTGGGTATAGAGTGGTGCCCAAGAAGGCGCCCGCGAACAAAGTTATCATGTGTTCAATACTGTTGGCCGCGAAAGTCATAATAGTGTCACTCTTTTGGACCCCTTTCGCCACCAAAGCCATCGCCAATGCATTGGATTTAGTGATCAACTCTTTGACAGTTAATTTTGTATCTGTTGTTGAGTCGATCT